CATAGACAATTTTATGTCATGTGGCACCTATGTGGCATGATGACTTGGCGGGTAATCTTAGAAGCCTCTAAAAATTTTACAGCCACTAACTAGTGCGTATTTGAGAAATGATCAGGTGATTGTTTCTGTTGGAAAGAGTAATTCCCAGATTTAATTAAATAATTTCATGCAAATTAATTTTAGTTAAAAGAAAATGAATAAGTGGAAAATGAATTTTTTTTATCCAAAATGCTTATCAATCAAATCATTTTCTAAAGTTGAGTTGAGCCAAATGAGCGATGATAACGACGCGAGGGGAGATTCTCTTGTCAACTTTTGAAGAGCTAAAAGAAGTGCTTATATATACTAGCACAAAAGTTCTCATCTTTATTACCAATGAGGGAGAAATGAACGTTCTTCAAAATTTATTTTTCCTTCATTTTCAATTCATATTACACCTTATCATTTAAGGATTAATCTTTAAAGAAACCCAAAAATCCCCCAGATAAATGAAAAATGGCTATATTATATAAATATGCATGAAAAAATTATGTAGTGATATAATACATAAATGTGCAATTTAATTTGGTCTCATTTCATATTTTATGCCCTTCAACTTTGGGTGTGCACCAGTAGACACTTAAACTTGTACAAAGTTGAATAAGTATGCACAAGAGTCTTATGCGGCATAATACACGTAGGATACCACGTAGGATGCAAATTTCCATGTAGGATGCCATGTAGGATGTGTATGTTTATTTTTTTATTTAACTTTATACAAGTTTAAATGTCTACTTGTACACACTCAAAGTTGGAGGACATCAATGTGAAATGAGGCCAAGTTAAATGACATATTTATGTATTATGCATGTAAATAAAGATTAATCGCATTTGGGTAAGTAGTTTTTTTTATAAAAATTTTCCATAGTAAACATCATGGGGTATACTTGGTCAACTGGTTAATTTGTTATCTTCGAACCGTCGAGCTTTAATGTTACCTCGACAACATATGTCACACAATTAACCTTAACTGTTCTTGGTTCTCTTCATTGTGTTCTATTCAATCACGAACACCGCTTGATGTCATGAGTGCATAGATAATTGACCTTACACTAACTCTCCTTGAGGCGACTTACACCTCACACTTATATATGTGATTTCTAAACGTGTAACCCATAGATACACTGTTTGATTATGTCATGATAAACTTAAAAATCATTAAAAAAAAATCCCAATACTTTACTATAACCCCCCAAAATTTCTAAGCTAAGGTCCAAACAATTCTTTATTTATATGTAAGGTCGCATCGAGTGATTCCTTAATTGATCTTATGTGTAAATGTTAACTCTTTAGGGTGGGAGTGCATTTGAATATGAATTAAGATCACAAAACCCCTAGAACAAAGTTGAGTTGAAAGCTTCCTTACCGTTTACTCTAAACAATCATATCTCTCGGTATAAAATAAATTAGGTGACCCATAACCTATAAAATTGAAGGTTTATGAGTCTTCTTTCTAGTGCCACCAAGTTTGCCTCATTTTGAGTTCAGAGTAAAAGGTTATGACCATTTTACCAGAGACTAATGCAACAGAGTTTCCTGAGTCAGTTCCTACGAATCATTTCTACTGACCATAAAAATTTCTACGACCCGTACTGTCAACTTGTAGAAAACTTCAAGAAGTCAAAAATTGGGTCCCATTCCTACGGATCCATCTATAGGTCGTGCAAACTTATACGGATCGTAGTTTGGACTCGTATTATAAACCTTTGAACTTTAAAATTCAATATGAATTCTACAGATTGGATCTATGGTTCTAGAAACTTTTATGGTTCATAGTTTGGAGCCGTAGAATGAAATTTTGGAGCCTTAAGGTATAATCTGAATTTCACAGATGGGATCTACAGTCCATAGAATAAATCATGAACTGTAGATGGACACGTATAGGTTTTCGTCAGCTTTTAAGAGGGCTAGTACAAACTTTTCCCACCTCTTCTAAGTCTAAACCATGATGTTTTTATACATAGTTAACATTTCAAACAATTTTAATCAATCTTTTTGTGTTCATTAATGCTTTCAAGTCATAGAGCAAGGATCCAAGAGGGTAAAACTAGAGTATTCAAGAGTTCTTCCAGTTTCGCCAAAAACTTTATTCTTCCAGGTATGTAAGGCTATCATAGTGATGGACTAAGTTTTTTCTCACGCCCTACATCTATCTAAATTCAGTAAAAGAGTAATCTATGGTTTTATCTCGAATTTTAAGTATTCTTGAGACGAGTAGTATCGTTGAGTTCGAAGTTCTTGATTTCTGAGTATTGAGTTTTCTATATTATTATTGAGATCCTTGAGTTGATTTGTTCATGCCTATATTTCAGCATGAACCCTATTTTGAGTTATAATTTTTTAGATCTTTCAAATCAAACATTGTTGTCTTAAACTAATTTTCTGATAAAGCAAAGATGAGTTTTGAGAAAGAGTTTTAACATGATTTTAGTAAGAGTATAAGGGAACTAAGTATTTCCAAATGTATCACTTTTTACATTGAGAAAAGAGAAATTTTGATTTTTAAATGAGTTAATGAGTTCAGAGATATCAGAGCAATTACATCTTTTAAGAGGATATTTTGATCAATTACCTCAAATTACCAAATATATGTTTAATTTATACATTTGAGCATGAGTATATATATTTATTGGCACTAGTATTGAACACCGATACGAAGATGTGTTCAGATAACTCACATTCCTCATAAACTATGTAGTCAACATAGTAAATGATCATACTTTTTAGACGTCTCCCTATTACTTTTGAGCAAAACTTTAGTGGATCCACTTAGTTGAGATATTCTATATATCGACAAGGTATATGACAGTTCTGAAAGCGCGGGCGAGACGCTGTATCATCACGTTGCACATAGTGATGATTTTCGGTTAGAAAATCTCTCAAATAGAGTTAAAAGTGTATTTTTATCATATCACTTAAAATGTTGAGTTCAGAGATGAATAAGTACTTTGTAAAGTTTAAATGATTTCACTCCTTTATTTCTTTACATTCGGTTGGTATATATTTATATCTACTGCAGTCCTTTCATTTAGTCATTTCGCTTCGACTATATTACATACTCGTACATTCAATCTACTGATGTCATGTGTCCTGCATCTTTTTATGATGCAGATACATGTGTTCAGAATCATTGCTTTGTTGAGATCACTTTGCACTTCCCATTTGAGAATTTTGGTGAGTCCTCCTTGCATTTTAGAGGGCCCTATTTTCATTTAAGTATTCACTTTTTGGCTTTAAGGGTCTTGTTCTTTCTTTAAAGTGTTTTGCGAATATTATATTATGCGTAATTGAGTATTTGAGACAAATGAGTTATATTTTCTTTTTAAAGCTTTTAATTTGCTTGAGTCAAATCTTCCGCTAAGTAGTCAACCAGACTGAGGGTTTGCGTGGAAGCCAATAATGATTTTTGAATGTCGGCCACGTTCAGGATGTAGGCTCGGAGCATAACATTTACCTTATTCGTGAACATTGTCTTATCATAAGACTTGATTTAGTTTAGGCGTGATAATGTTGAACTGTTATTCATAATTTTTTTTGATACCTTGAACCTACATTTTAGGATCTCCCGTCAATTAGGTATAGATATCATTATGATGACTTCTTCTCGATCATAATCTCATTCTGTTTGATAATTTATCAACCACCTCTCTAGTTAGGCCTTTTCTAAATGAATCCGACACATTTTTTTTTACTTTCCAAATCAATAAGAAAACTGAATCTGGCAGAAGTACTTTCTCTATTCACTTTTTCTTGTTCAGTATTTCAAATATAGTTTTTTACTGTTAGTTGCTACTATTAACATATCAAGAAAAGACGATTGTCTTTTTCATGTTTTACCCTCCATATTAATTATTTAAGTTTCAAATTATTTAATAAAATCTAAGACTATACATCAATTACTGTGAATGTTGCGGAGAAATATTTATATTAATTATTATTCTAAAGGTACGTGCAAAGTTCAAAGTGTGCAAGTCAAAGTGAACAAAAGATTTGCCAACTTTCTTCAATTACTTCTCAATGCATGTGTTTCTAAAAGACATAATATATAAATATGCCCTTTAGCTTGGCCTCAACTCACATTTTTGTCTTCTAATTTCGGGTGTGCATAAGTAAACCCTTAAGCTTTTATAAAATTGAACAAATAGACACACATATCCTGCATTATATCTTACATGATAATTTGAGTCCTTTGTGGTGTCCTACGTGTACTATTCCACATAGGACTCGTGTGTATACTTGTTCAACTTTATATTAGTTTAAGTGTCTACTTGTGCACATCAAAAGTAGGAGAACATAAATGTGAATAGAGATAAGTTAAATGATACATTTACGTAGTATGCCTTTCTAAAATGTGATTCTGATTTCCGAAGCTCCCTAATTAAGCTGTGTGTCCAACTTCTGTCCAGTCACTAACCAATTTTGCTGAAAATCAACTATGAATAATTTTCATTAGTTGAAAAATCAAAATATTACCTATTGACATTTTTAACCTTCACCTAATATTGCTTGGTAAGTAGTGTAATCATGTTGAGTGAATCGGAAACAAAAGGGAAACGACAAATTATGCAGGCACCCTTACCCATTCCATAAGAGAACAGAGAATATTTTGGTGTTCTCGTATATTAAAATTAGACAAACAAATTGAAACGGAAAGAGAAATATCTAATAATCCTACTCGATGTGTACTCCAATTAACATCGAAAAAGGCTGAACCACCAGTCCACTACAAAAATATCACACTTCCATTCTTAATCTTATAGCATCAAACATTTCATCTTCTGATTAATTAATTAGGTAGTTCAAAGATAAGCAAATTTGAACTGATATTTGTACCTACCCCATTCATCGGTCACCTTGTTTCGTTTTGCAAGTTTGCAGAGAAGTTAGTTGATAGAAATGAAAGGCTATATGTAACAATTTTCATTATAAGACCAACATGGGATTCCAGAATAGATGCATACATGGAGCGAAGCTCCTCTGCTCCAGAGGGCAGTCGAATTAGATATATCACACTTGCTAAAATCGAACTGCCATCTTCAGAAGAACTAGCAAAGTCTGTTGAGAACTACATTTCTCTTTTGATAGCAAACTATCGACCCATGGTTAAAGATGCAATTATCATGAAATGGTAAAGGGAATTCAAAGTCTGAAGTGAAGATGAAGAATTCATGAAATGGCTAGACCAGCAGCCACCTTCCTCTGTTCTTTTTCTGTGCTTTGGAAGTGCGGGTATTTTTGAGCCATCACAGCTTATCGAGATGGCAATTGGACTGGAACAAAGTGGAGTTAGGTTCTTGTGGTCAATACGTCTGCCTGTGGATGCTGAAACTACAAAATTAGAGGAGATATTGCCGGAAGGGTTCTTGGAGAGGACAAAAAACAGAGGAATAGTATGTGGATGGGCACCCCAAGTCGATATCTTGGCTCACAAAGCCACTTTTGAGCATTCATTTTTCATTGTGGATGGAATTCGACCCTAGAGAGTCTATGGCATGGAGTACCAATTGTGACATGTCCCATTTATGCAGAACAACACATTAATGCATTTCAATTGGTGAGAGATATTGAGGTGGCAGTGGAGATGACATTGAATTATAGGATGCACCATATTGATCATCGCGAAATTTTGAAGGCAGAGGAGATGGAGAAAGCTATAACATGCATAATGGACAGTGAAAATCCCACAAGGAAAAAGGTCAAAGACATGGGAGAGATTTTCAGGATGGCGTTGATGGAGGGTGGATCTTCTTACATTTCTCTAGGACGATTCAGTGAAACTATTCTTGATTACTGTAATTGAGATGTAGCAGAGTTTTGTTTCATAATCAGTATGCCACTGAATCAAATAAGAGTTGTTTCTAAGGTGTGAGTGTATTTATTGGTGTATACTACAAATTAGAGTAAATAATAGTTAAAAAAAGAGAGACAAAAATGAATAAATTTAAACAAAAAAAAAGAAGAAGACAAAAATGAATAAATAAATATTTAGGTTGAGGCGTGAAAAATTCACTCTTTAAGGGAATTCAAGTCTACTGTGTATAATCTACACTGATCCAACAGTATTTCTGTTGACATGTACTCTTCAGGATACACACACTCAATAACGTCATACAACTTAAACAACTTCGGATTAGTTGAAGATAACAAAACTCCACCATTAGAAAAACTTTCTTCAATATAAAATTACTCTTTTTAAAACGGTGAATTAGTTGAAGACTTAAAATAATTTCTTTGTCTCAAATCTCTCTTTCACTACACTAACCTTACCACTACAATATTTCTCCACAATTCTCATCTTTATTGCATACTCTTCACATTGGAAAAAACACCATTATTTTTAGCTGAGAAATTCTTTGTTATTATATTGAATAGAAAGAATGTGCAATAGTAAATTAGATAAATAAGTGACCTAGAGGTTACACAAGTGTAACACCTCGAAAGTGCCTAGCTCAGAATCAGACATGATAGTGCAGAAAAATGTGAAGTCTGCAAAATTTGTGTTTCACGGGCACCATTCACAGATCGTAGAAGAAAGTACGAGTCGTAGATGAGTCTCATAGATAAGGCTTTAGAGATAAATATTTTGGTTTGGATTTTACAAGTCATAAACTTTTCTACGGTTCGTGGACTTGGTCATAGATAAGACTTCCGAAAGTTGGAATTTGGGACTTGAATAGGACGAATAGGTTTACGAGTCCTACAATGTTTCACAGATCGTGGAAAGGCCTCATAGACCAAAGTACTCAGAATTCAGATCTTTCCTAACTTCTACGGACGATCAGGACGGGTCATAGAAAGTTTTACGTACCGTAGACTGGTCCGTTCAAGTTGACTCCAGAAACCTAGAAATTTCCCTGTCTTCTACAAATCATTTCACGGTTTGTGGACAGTTCTACAGTCCGTAGATGGCCTCCGACAGATTTTAATAGGGATTATTTGATTTTTTTCCACTCTTTTAATTTTTGTACTATGTCGTTTGACCTATTCTAAGTGGGTTTAAGTGATGCTTAAAAACCCTAACCCCTCATTCCTAATAATTCTCCCAAATCAAAGTTTCTTCTCTCAAGGCAAGAAGAAGGGATCAAAGCTTCAAGCCTCTGTCACGACTTAGGTCTACACCCCAGTCAAGACACAATACTTGGAATTACAAGTGATCCCAAGCTAATCTTTGACACAACATATTTAAGCATTTCATATGAAAACTGAAGCGGAAGCTATAAACAAAAGCATAACTGAAATAAAGTTCAAGAATAAGTCTATTACAAGTAAATACTAAAGTTTGAAAGCCTCTAAACTATATAAAATGATTTATCGGGACTGTTGACACCCAATTTTGACCCTCCCCGATAATAATTAATTTTCGAGCTTCTTAAAATTCCAAACGATTTGAAATAATTGACGTATGAAATTCAAAATATGTTTCAAGTCATTTTAAGTAATTTTGCCATTTTTGTAAATTTTAATTATATATATATATATATATATTGTATATATTTATTACCTTCTATGAATATTCGAAAATCGTCTCAAATTTTTTATTTTTTTATTTTTATTTTCGGAATATTTGGTTTTGGTTTAGCTAATCAATAGTTTATATTTTTTATTTGATTAGTTTACAATTAAGTTAAATATTTTATTTCGTAGAAATCTAGAAGCTCGTTAATTAATTAATATTAATTCGTCTTATATATAAATTTTAGTCAAATTCCCTAGATTAAACTCAATTTGGCTAACTTCTTAATTCACATTGGCCATAATTATAGTTCTTGTGGCCATTTTTTGCATGACCAAGTATTGGGCCATTTTTCTTCTTCGCTCAATTAGTTCCATCAGCCCAATGATCAGCTCCTCCTAAAATAACCCAGGCCCAACACTCTTATAACAAAACTGCCAGCCCATATAATAATACATACAACAAACAACAGTACTAGCCGACTCACTGTTGGCATCTTCTCCTTCACGCAAAAAACAAGCAGAAATCCAGCAACGTGATAACCAGAAACGAGCCAGCCGCCCAGACCCGGTCCAGCAGTAGCAACAGCGTGCACAACACGCGTGAACGACCATGTACGCGCCTCGTCTCCTTCACGTGAGGGCGAGTTCACGCAATCGACAGCTCCCTCAGCCCTGCACTGCAACAACCGCCCATTTTGATCTTTTCCATCTGGATTTTAGGGGATTTTGGTTGAATTTCCATACAACAACAACTTTTCCTTACCCTTGGGGTAAAAATTGGAATTGATTTGGTTAGGGAATTCCGATTTTGCCCCAAGTTCCTATCCGTTTTCTTCCCCCAAATCTGCCCTAATTTCCTGGCTATATATACTCTCTTATTATTCACTGTAAAGAGGAGGGGGGGGGGGGGGGAATTAATTGGAATTAGAAAAAAGAAAAATACAGTGAACTATTGATTATCCATAGTCATAGACAAATATTTAGGAAATAGATTTTGAAGTGATAGAGATTGGCAATAAGATTTCTACTCTCATTTGATTCTTTTCCGTTCATCGAAGTTTCTCGGAGTTATAGTTTGGTGGTGGTGGAATCCTTCCCAGAATCTCGCGTCCCAAGTCGCTGCTCCGAAAGAAGTGATATTTTGTTTCTTTTGTTTTGTTCTTTGTCTAATATGATGCTTTGATTCATATGTGGTATTTTGCTCATTTAATATTATAGTTTGTTCAATTTGTTTTATTCATCTTAAATTGAATCAGTTTGCATTGTATTTTTGTAATTACTAGCTGACTTTGAATCATGTAATCATCGTTGTCAATTTAATTTGTCTAATCAGGAAGCTCTAATTTTTGGCTCTATGTTTGTCTCACTATTCTTGAAAAGGAAGTATTGAATGTTAGCCTAATCTCATGTAATATATATATAATTTTTGCTTTCGACTTTAATCTACGATATTATCCTTCTGAATTTGTAGCCTCCCATTAAATTCATCTACTCATCGTATATCCAATTTAATTCCTTATTTTGCTGAATGAATAAGTTGAATACCATTTTTTTTTTGTGGTTTGATTTAGCATGAGTCCCCCGCAAAGAATTAAACTTGCATAAAGTGTCCATGTCCTTTCTGTTTTGTTTCTAATGTTGTCCTCTTGTTCAAACGGGTAAACTGTATGTTCTTCATAATGCTCATGTTATTGTCTTGGAAATCGTGGGTTTATTTTTCTATTATTATTATTAAGCCAGAAGCTCTGATTTTTGAGTTCGAATAATACATTTCAACATATATCTTGAGAGCGTGAGCACAACCACAATTATATTTTCTCTTCCTCCTTGATAGTTTAGGGTCTACGATGCATTGTCTTCTTGTGATATATAAATTGTGACCTATAAATTTCGTTATGTGTCTTCGAATGGTTGTTTCTGGGAATTTAAGAGGACGACATATTTTCCATGTTACTTGGGAGAGAGATGCCAACCTTTATTTTTCTCCATATGTTTAATATGTGGCTTTCTATAGTTTGCCATTTTAGTGTTTGAGTAGATATAGTCTTATCATCTTCATGTGTAATGCTTTGTTCTCTACTTAAGTTCTCAGGTAGACATATATGCGATAAAATGGAATGTTTATTGAATTAGCTCGACCTCTCTATTTTAGTGTGATGTCGTTTAAAGGTCTCAAATTGTAAACTTATTATTTGCTTGTTTCATTCACTATGATTTGAGTATAAGTTTGGTCCCTGCTCATTTTGGTTGTTGCTTGTTAGTTCTTTATGATCACCAAGCTTGTAACGTTGTTGGAATTTGTAAATTAGAATGTTTCTATCCCACCTATAATAATGTGTGCTATAGATTGCTCGTTATTTTCACGAACACACAAGATTCTGATGCCTCTGTTCTGGTTGATGTCATCCTTACATTTAGTTAGCGGTGTTTACTGACTTGTTTGATGCCAGATAATCGATCTTGTCCCTTACTTGAGTTTTGTTGCCTTCATTTAAAGTATTTCAAGAGTCTGAATTTGTATTAAGTTTCAGACAATTTGATAAGATTTGGTAATGAATAACTTCTCACTCCTTTCCTTTCCCATTTATAATGTGAATATTGACATTTTAATTTAAAGGTAGTATAGTTGCTACATCTGCAATTTTTTTTTTCTTACTTTCAATGCAATAATCGTAGCTACTATGATCTAATCAACTCTTATCTTTCATATGTAAAGGTGAGAAGTTTATATGTGATAATGTTTTCTTCTTCTATGTCTCACTTTATGCCCTTTCTTTTAGAAATCGATGTCCATTTAGTTGAATATTCCTTTCAGATTAGTATCCAATTTGTTGAAAGTGTTAATTTAATTTTAATCATGTCAAGGACAGGTGGTATTAAAATGATTTTTAAGAGTCTAGTGCCTTTTATTCCTCTTTCATTTGTTTTTTTAATAAATTTTCTTACCTCTCGTTGTGGAGATTCCAAATATGGACTTGCATATATTTATTAGCTTAGGTGCTTTATCATGATTTGGATTAATTTTTATATGTGTGTTTTATGATGCATGTGAAAATCGATGGGTCCAATATGGACTCCATTCCTGCATATCTTCGAGTTGGTTTATTTCTGAGTCAACCCCATCATGATTCAAGTGAAGTGGAAGCAAATATACGGGTCTTGAAAGTTGAAACACAGGTTCAAGGAGTCCGAAAATGCATAAACAACATCCCACTTTTGGACAACAGTGAATTTAGGCCAAAAGGGCCTAAATTCAATCTCTCCCTTACTCTTTAATTATTTAATTATGATTACTTATTGTTTGTTGTTTAACTCTAACTTTAGAATTATTAATTAACTTAATTA